CCTTAGAAAGTTCAGCTTATCAATGGCATTTACTTTTTATACTATAAATAGCTCAGTAATTTGTAATTTATAATTAATGTTTTTTAAAAATTTATTTTGAGAGAGACAGAGCATGAGCAAGGGAGGGGCAGAGAGAGAGAGGGAGAGAATCCTAAGCAGGCTCTCTACCACCAGTGTGAATCCCGATGCAAGACTCGAACTCAAGAACTGTGAGATCATGACCTGAGCCAAAACCAGGAGTTGGATGCTTAACCAACTGAGCCACCCAGGCAGCCCACTTACAATTAATGTTTTTATTTTTTAACTTAAACTCTACCTTAAAATGCATGCCAACAAAAATAATTTTAAAGTACTGCTTAATATACTACTCATTTTAGTTCCTTTTTAAATACAGCAATTATTTTACTTGACATTCATTCACAAAGTCAAGTTTAACACTGGCATAAGCTCTCCATATGGCATATTATCTGCATGTAACACGCATATGGTATGCACCATCATGCATATATATATGGTTTACCGGTGTGGCCTATTATTAGGATTCAATCATACCATCCAACTACTCAACTACAGCCAAGGGAGAAAAAACTAGCACCCAGCTCAGTTTACATTAGGTATGTAACTAATACCAGATACAGTGCCAGACAGACACTGGAGAAACAAAGAAGAGTAAGCCAAAGCACTGCACCAAGAGACAAAGTCTAGCTGGGAACCCAAAAGTAGATGGAATATATGAATACAAAAGTCTGGGAGGACATGAACCACATTGTTTACAATGGTTACCTTTGAGAAGGGAGATAGGAAGACTTCTATAATTTCTGATTTGTGTATTCTAAAACTGTTACCCAAATAATAAAATACATAATACATACACAGACTTATGGGAAAGTAAAAGAAACCCTTTCCCAAATTTTCACAAGTCTTTTACATGCCTCCTAATTGTTGATAACTTAGCCCAAGTGTCCTTAAAAATTACAATGTAATAAAATTCTTATTTGCCTGCCCAATCGCTCAGCATCCACTACATTCAACACATTACTTTCAGAAATGAAACAATAAACACCTTAATAATAATCAGTGAATTAGAAGTGCCTGGGTGTCTCAGTCAGTTAAGCATCAGGCTCTTAATTTCAGCTCAGATCATGATCTCACGGTTCATGAGTTTGAGCCCCATGTTGGGCTCCACACTGGCAGTGTGGGATATGCTTGGGATTCTCCCTCTCACTCTCTCTCTTCCCCTCCCCCACTTGCATGCTCTGTCTCTCTCTCTCAAAAATAAACATTAAAAAAAGGAAATAAAATAAAGCAAAATAATAATCAGATAAATTAAGGTATTACAACTAGACCAAGATTATTACTGAAAATGTAAAATCAGGGCACTTAAGAAGATGCAACCTAGCTACACAAATACTTTACTGTACAAGTCTCTGCATTAACACTGACTAGTAACAATTATTTCAAATGGGCCCTTTTCCAACAATATTCTCTTTTTTCTTTTTAAACACAGACATCTAACAATTCTAAAACCTAAGCCAACTCTTTTTGAAAATATTAGAGATAACAGAAAAAAACCAACAAAAAGAATGTATTACAACTGACTCTTTGAAGTGAAAGTTCACTATCTAGGGGCGCCTGGGTAACTCAGTTGGTTAAGCATCCGACTTCAGCTCAGGTCATGATCTCACAGTTCATGCGTTGGAGCTCCACATCAGACTCTGTGCTGACAGCTCGGAACCTGGAGCCTGCTTCAGATTCTGTGTCTCCCTCTCTCTCTGCCTCTCCCCCATTTACACTCTGACTCTCTCCCTCTCTCTCTCAAAAATAAATAAACATTAAAAAAATTTTTTTTAATTCAATATCTAAAACAAAAATTTTTTAAATATAATTACCAATATTTAAAATATTTAAACTAAATTACTATCAGTTATAAATCAATAGCCAGAAACAGAGCTACTCCTTAAAAAATCAAATTAATTCTACTTTTAAGTGTTTTATTAATAGAAAGTATCAGAATGAAGCTTTCCTCAGCTTCTTACAGGACTATCACACGGCTCAAAATATGAAACACTTGTAAAATACTAACTTGCCACAGCAATGGCATTACTGGTATTACTGGTAATACTGGAGATTAGATTCCAAAGAATTTAATTAAAATTAAATACATAAGTTTGCAAACTACAAAGGAGCATGCAAAGTTGAGCTCTTATTCCTCCCACCCTGTTCCCAGTCTCCTGATTCTTGCCTCACCTCCGCTGTTTAGCTTCCGCGACAGGAGCTCTACTTTTTCCTGTAATTTATCATAGACCATCACAATCTGGGACACGGCTCGGCGGGAGGACTCCACTCGCTCCTGCAGCTGAGATTCCATTTCTTCACTGGAACTGCTGGCCAAGGTAGCGAGGAAAGAGAAAGCTGGCTCTTGCCCTTCCCCTGAGGATACAGGGGGGAAAAAAGCAGCCGTCAGCATTATAAAAGTGGAAGTATCAAAATCCTTTTTTCCTCAACTGGAAAGCCTGAAAGCCAAGATCTACTTTAAAACCCCAGAGCATGCAGTGGTAGAATCCACCACACAAACACTCGCCTCTCTCTCGGTCATCTTTCCGTTCCTGATTGCTATCGGAGTCTGGTTCTGGTTCCGGCACGACAAGGGCTTTTCTTTCTGTGAGGAGATCTCCCAAACCTTGCTCCAGATCATAACGTTTAAGGATGATACGGATGTTTTCATCAAACTGAAGAAGGGGAGGTACAGTCATGAGAAAACAGAAGAGCACAACTTTGGAAGTGAAGAGAATGCAAAGGAGAACTAAAATGCTCAAAAGAAAATCTGAGTAAACAAACAAGTAGCTACCTGACTCCAGTACCGGTTGACAATCAGCAGTGAGGCATCATCAGTGGCCTGTCTTCGTTCCAGTTTTTCAATGTGCTCACGGAGTTCATCTTCAATGGCCTGCCGTTGATCCAGCATCTCTGCCAGCTTGCGATTTTTGGTTTGCAGTGTTCGAATGTCTAGCTCCTCCTGCCCCACGAAACCAATCTCATTAGTCTCCACAAAGAAATTAGGCAAACCAGCTGTTAAACTCTACCAGGTCATATTTCCTCCGACCAAAGCTATTCATTTCTTAAATCTTACAACAAGTAATTGGATAAGAAGTAGGAACAGAAGAAATAAAGAGTCTATGATGACGATGGGAAGGAAGAATGATACTAATATGCTAGAACTTGGACCTCACCCACCTCATTGTTCTCTTCACATGGATATCCACAAAGTACCGTGAGGCTCCACTGTCCAGCTAGATCACCTTCTGCCCGGATCAACACTGCCATCTATCTCCTCAGCACTGCCCCTCGATCATTCAAGACCTTGGCACCTGGGCCGTTCTCTGTCCCAGTCCCTGCCACTATGTCCAGTGACCATACACACACGGACATGTAAACATGTGGACAAACCATCTAATCCTCCAGCATCCAGGCTGCATTCTGAATCCCTTAACTCTGGTGATTATCTCACTCCCTGTGCTTCAGCCACCCATTTCAAAAGCCGCATCTTGGGGGCGCCTGGGTGGCGCAGTCGGTTAAGCGTCCGACTTCAGCCAGGTCACGATCTCGCGTTCTGTGAGTTCGAGCCCCCCGTCGGGCTCTGGGCTGATGGCTCAGAGCCTGGAGCCTGTTTCCGATTCTGTGTCTCCCTCTCTCTCTGCCCCTCCCCCGTTCATGCTCTGTCTCTCTCTGTCCCAAAAATAAATAAACGTTGAAAAAAAAAATTTTTTTAAAAATA